GATTCACTGGGGAGGCCTGGCAGAGAATCTGGCTCCTGCCCTGGATCTCTGGCTGTCCAAAAGCCATAGTGACCAGTCCCCACCCGCCTTTGAAGTAATAATAGCCACAAGGCCAGGCCCTGCTCCCAGAGTGCAGAAAGCCACTTCTAGCCCCTACCCCGAGACAGGCCGATGTGTTGGGAGATATGTTTGCATGCGCTTTTCAGTTTCATTTCATCTGTTCAGCTCTCTGGCCCCAAACGTGAAGTGTCTGTCAGGTGGGGAGGATGAGCAGCATTTTCAGCCTCTGTGACGAATGCATAATTGCAGCAGAAACAGCTTCCCATACATGACCCCTGCCGTGGTGGAGTGGACTCACCAAGGGTGGAAATCTCTTTCTTTTTTTCTGCAATGGACGCATGCAGACACATATCAAGGAGAGCAGTTTCTGGGGCAGATTATGGCACCTTTTCCCCACCTATGTCACCAGAAGTCTACCAGCGAATCAATGCTCGACTCTGGGAACCAGGATGGATGAGATGCACTACATGATCTCCTGTGCTTGCTCAGGGCCATAAGAGAGACAGTGCTGCTTTGTTGGTAGCTCTGTGTCTCACTCTCCCAGCTAATGAATAAGCGGTATCCAGCCAGTACTACCCCTGTGAACACAGATTGTATCTGCTGGAAAACTACACATAGGAGACTCTTTACTTCTGAGCACTTGCCTAGCTTCTGGAGTGGAGGCCAGTAAAGTGGTCAAGTGTATTTATTTGCTTTTGACAGATGTGGTGATATGGAAGAGGCTCTCTCTAAACTTACACACAGCTGAATGTTAAAAAAAAATACCAGTATCCTGTCTCACTACTTACAGCTACATTTCTGCAGGGGAAAAGGGTCATAAAGTTGCGAGAATAGATGCAATAAGAAACATTTCATTTTTCTATAAGGCATGCTAATAGTAAAGTGCCCTGAAAACTAAGTGATATTTCTGGCCTCTAATATCACTGACAATATTTTCTCAAACACTGTTTACTTTGTAGGTAGTAACAGGGAGTTTGTGCTGCTGCCTCACCTTATTACACTAATGGGCAAGGGAGGGGGCAGGGGACTCTTCTGTCCTGGGTCTGTTGGGGATTGCGTCTCTGAAATGAGTTTCAACAGCTGTATGGAATTGGCAAGAAACGAAACAACCTGAGCCAGGAAATGCTAGTAGAACAATAACTAACCATTTCTGGGGTTACAGTTAGTGAAATTAAGGTCTGCCATACTGTTGAGACATGGCTGGGTTAAGAATTACTTTTAAAAGATTTCTTAACACATTAATCTTTTGTTGTTGAAGCTGAAAATTCCTAAATGTCTTTGCTATTTCTGGTTGCATATCTTTTTTCAGAATAGATTAGTCAGCTTCTAATCAAGTTCATTTTGAAGTTCTCATGCAGCAGTGTTTTGGGTGTAAGCTGTGGGAGAATGTTTTTGTTAATTTTTCATTGCGCATATGTCTCATGGAAATTCTTCTGGGATGTTGGGTTCTAAAAAATACACAATCCCTAAATTTGAGATTTGAATTTGACCGATATCATCTCTTTACATAAGGCCTGCAGTTTTATACATATGACACTTTAGGCTTTTTAAGCCTTGTGGTTTCCCTCTTTCTACTGTTTATAAAAAATACTTTTTCATAAGTGTTTTAATAAATATAGTATAGAAAAGATGCAGTGAATTTTGCCTTGCTATAGCGTACATAGTCTTAAGGTGTAGTTTGCCCATGGTGTTGGGGATATGACCTTTCTTGCAAGGGAGATATGTTTTCTACTATTGAAATATTCTGTTTATACTGCAAGAAAAGGTTTTGTAATGTGCCTGCATATCTTAATGCACACTTTGTACCAGAAACCCAAATTTGGGTAGCCTTGGGTTTTGAAGCAGTGACTTGAAGAGAAAAAATATTGACTTACCAACCACATAAATGATGTACCAACCTGATCCAGAAATCTTTCCATCACACTTTTTATTTCTTCTTTGCTTTTTGCATTTGTAAAAGCAGATTTTGTTTTTCCCTGTATAGCTGCTTATACATGAGAATTTTATACATCCTGATGTTGCTTTATTCTTCAAGGGTTATTTTCCATTGTCTGCAAAAGATTGGACGTGAAGTATAATAAGCATTATATATGCAAATATTTAATTATTTTTAGAACATAAGGTGAAAATTATTTTATGCAGTTCACACTTATTTTTCTGGCACTTCAAAGTGTCAGATATTTCTACAGCTGTGTTGTCTACTTTCCCTGGAATTCCATTGCAGTTTACAGTTGTGCAGTGGGCTCCAGCATTCCTCATTTTATTATTTAACTGTAGTACAGTTCTTTAGCACATTACTGCATGTGATTCAAACTCTCTACTCTTTAATACTAACGAAGACCTTAATTGTTTTTCAGACTTCAGTATGTGAAATAGTAGTGCAAGCACCTCTACTGGAAAAACAAACTGCTACAAAAAGCATTTTTATCTAACCCATTTTAACTTCCTAGGTGTCTCAATTATTTGAATTTGAAGTTAGCCAGCATGTTAAATAGGATGTGACTTTAATGCATCTTTAGTATAGAGGACAGCAGCAGTCCCCCATCCTCACAGGATGATGTACGAATGATCACAGCAAAACATTTACTATATCAGGGTTAAAAGGACCAGTATTAAAATAGATCACAGTGCCAGGAAGAAACCAAATACAACCTAAGATGCATTAAAGAAAAGTCTTTTTACAACTTTTTGTCCAAACCTTTGTATATTTAAAAATTAATCGTAAATTTGGAAGGGACCTCAAGGGTCAAAACTTATTTCAGACGTTCTTGATATCTGTAAACAGAAGGTTTAAGTCAGCATTATTGTTCTTTCTCTCTGCAGTCTGGTTGTTGTGTTTTCATAACAGCAAAATGATTGTTACTGTTCAGCTATAGAATAAATGCAGGATATCTCGACACTGGCTTATGCTTTTTTGCCTTCACAGTTGTGATAGAGTTGGGAACTCAGTAAGATTAAAAGAATCATTTGCTTTTGTCTATTTTTACACATGGTATAATTGCCTTTTAAAAGTGACCTTTAAGTCAATTTATGCACAATTTATATATTAGTTTGAGCCTCTCATGTTGGCACCATGAATGCTATGCCAGTATGAAATTGGCCTGCCATGTCCTGGTTTGTAAGTTTTTCATGTGGTCCTATACTCAAGATTCTGTCCAGCCAGATCCAAAACTAAATCAAATGTGCTTTAAAATTGGTTTGACAGCAGCAGCCTGTAAGATAGTGCACTAATATAGATGCAGTGAGCTGTGTGGTACATTTAAGATGCACTAACCACTGCTATAGCTGCAGTCATTTAAGGCAAGGTGCCCTGCTCTAGACACAATCTACTGGACTTTTTGGAACTTAAGCCCGTTGAAAAAACCAGATCACTGACAGCTTCTAATACAGTAAGTTATGGATGCAAACAAGGAAGCCATGTTTCCTAATCTGCACTATTCTGAGCGTCTGTTAAATCTGTCATTAAAAGTTCACCTGTGTCTTGGAAACCAAATGTATATGGCATGAGATGACACTGCTGAAATGCTCTAAGAAATGAAAAATTATGAAAAATTCCTCCTCTGGACATACAACATGGAAGTTACCGTAAATGCAGGTACTTATATTTTCAAAGCTCTGTAGCAAAGACTGACCTAATTGCTGTATAAATTTAGGTAAACATGCAATTACCTTTATTTACAGTAAAATTGACCCACTATTTCAGGTGAATAACAGGCGCTCCAAAGGAATAGGAGCAGGGCAACATCTAAAAAAAACACACTACCCATTCTAATGAAGATCTTTAGCCTTTTTGTTTTCTGAGGGGTTGAACAGCCAGAAGCTGTACCGAATGGAAAAGTGCATACAAACAATCATTCCTTTTAGCAAAGTTTTCTTTTTAAAAGAAAGTTGCATCCAGCCTTCCTATTTCACAGCCATGCCCTGAAGCTTTGGCCCTATTTCTGCCTGAATTTTAAAAGCTTTACTAAGCTTTAAGCTAGGAAGGAAAGATTTGTAGACACTGCTTTAACCTGTTCTAAGCCACTTCAGGTCATACTTAACTTTGCAGAACTACCAACAGCTCTAAGTCTACATTCTTTTGCAGCCAGTAAAATACATAACAGCAAAACATTGAATATGAACAGAGATGTAAAATTCCACATGTTGCCTTAGTTCACTTGAACCTAGTGAAGGCAGGGTAACCAATTTGACACTATGCATTGAAGCTAAAATGAGGGTTTAGGCAGTGAAAAGTGCCTACTAATTTAGGGAGTCAGAGTTTATACTAGCAAGACTTAACTCCTGCTAGGTTGGTACCAAATGGATAGAGGAGACATTTGCATAAATATTTCCTTCAGGGAAATTAAATATGGCCATCAATGGGAGCTGTGGGTTCTCAGTGCTTCTTAGGTTCAGCTTTAAGCAGGTCTGTACAACACAAAAAAACACCATGACTATTCTTAAATGTGTTTTTTTTTCTGCAAAGGTCCAGCTCAAGACTGTTCATTATTTGCAAGAATACTACTGCATAGTGAAGACCTGCTTCCACACTTTCTCTGCAACTGTAAACAAAGAGCTCAGGTCTCCCTTGAACAATAAGGGCTTGCCTCATTTAATTAAAACAGGTGCTAGAGAGGTTCTTACCTTCTGGAAAGAAAGTGCATGCACACCAGGACAATATATTATGTGCCATTTCATAAGAGGGGTTTTCACATGCATGTCCCAGGTGTTAGGTGTTGCATTTTATAGAAGTGAATGTGCAACAACAGCTCTACATTTTCTGAACAAGCCACAAAGCCATTCCTTAACACAGGAATTAGGTGCAAAATGTATTCCCTGGCTGAAATTAAGTGCAAGTCCAGGGAGACATTTGCTTGCTACAGCTGCTAAAGCACTTGGGCTTTAATATTTTTGTTTTGTTTTCAGGCTTCTGATCCTATAAGACTTTGTGCTCTTTGCTTTTATCCAGGTGCCTGGGGAGAAGGTCACATTAGGATCTAGAGAGTTAAGGCAAGCA